AATCCAAAAACAGAGAAAATTTAACTTTTAAATTAACCCCTTTATGGCAAGATAAGGCAAAGTGTTTGTTGTTTGTGATATCATCCATAATGCGGGAAGGAGGGGTGCAAACAAACCTATCGAATCATATCGAATCATTTATTAATTAAACTGCTCTAATACAGTGCTCTTGTTCAGAGCGATTTACAAAATCTAGCAGTTTGGATAACAGACAGAGGAATATAAAATTAGGCATCACGGAACCAGAATAATAGAGAACCCTACCAAACGACTTTTATCATTTAACCACTTAATGTAAGATCATCCAGAACCTCCTGACATCACAACAACTAAATCGAGATGAACATTAAAGGAATACTATAGGGTCAGGAACACAAACATGTATTCCTGATCCTATAGTGTTAAAACCACAATCTAGCCCCCCTGCTCCTCCTTGAACACCCTAAATATAGCAAAATCTTACCTTTATTCCAGTCTGCTGCTGTTGGCTCTGCCCAGATCTGCCTGCTTGGCTGACATCATCAGAAGTGTTTATCAAAGCCAATCACAATGCTTTCTCATTGAGCTTGTCAAGGAGGCAGATCAGGGGCAGAGCCAGCATAAGCCAAACAAAGCCCTGGTCAATTAGCACCTCCTCATAGAGCTGCATTGAATCAATGCATCTCTTTGAGGAAAGTTTAGTGTCTTCATAAAGAGAGCGGAGACACTGAATGGCAATGCTGCACAGAGTGCACACTGCCCCAGGAAGCACCTCTAGCAGCCATATGAGGAGTGGCCACTGGATGTATCCCTAGGCTGTAATGTAAACACTGCTTTTTCTCTGATAATACAGTGTTTATTGCAAAAGGCCTTAAGGGAATGATTATACTCACCAGAACAAACACAATACGCTGTAGTTGTTCTGGTGACTATTGTGTCCCTTTAATTTAAAGTAGAACAGTGGTGCTCAATATTATGCTGTAAACATAGCTTTTTATGTAAGTCGTTTGAAGGAACACTGAACACTGTTAGGAATACAAATGTTAGAAGTTTAGGTGCCTACCCTCACCACCCATTCAATGGAAGTTATAACAAAAAATTTACTTTACTAATTTAGAGGAAGCTCCTTTAGATGCTATTAGAGCAACATTTCCCAATTGGGGTTCCGCAGCGAATTTCTCATTGGGTGTCCCATGCACTTAGGGCCATCCAATCAGTATCGCTGAACAGGGGCCCGGTCAGGCGCCACTGCCTTTTAAGAGCACGACCGGGACTCTGTAGTGTGGGATGTTGGAAGGAACTGACAGCATGTCACTTCCTCCCTGGCACACAGCGCGTGAGCAGGACAGGAGAGAAGGCAGGAGAAGGGAGAGAGCAGTAGCCAGCCCCAGCCCCAGCCAGCAGCACTTCAGCCCCAGCAGCAGCACTTCAAGCAAGGTACCCTACTGCAGATAAAAGGTAACCTTACAGGAGGGTGACTGAAAATATAACATTATGACCTGTGTGTGTGTGTATCTCTGTGTGTCAAGGTGTGTATGTGTCAGTATGTGTATTTGTGTGCTAGGGTGTGTATATCTGAGTGTCACTGTGTGTATCTGTGTGTGCATATGTGTATCAGTGTATCTGTCAGTGTGTGTATCTGAGTGTGTATGTACACACATATACACACACACACACTGGCACATACATACACACTCAGATACACACACTGACAGATACAATGACACATTGTGTCAAGGTGTGTGTATCTGTGCGTCAGTGTGTGTATCTGTGTGCCACTATGTGCCAGTGTGTGTGTATGTGTGTGTCAGATACACACACACACACACACACACACACACACACACAGATACACACTAACACACAGATACACACACTGGCACATACAAACAAAGATACACACACTTTGACACACAGATACGCACACACAGATACACATAGTGTGTCAAGGTGTGTGTATCTGTGTGTCAAGGTGTGTGTATCTGTGTGTCACTATGTGCCATTGTGTGTGTATCTGTGTGTCCGATACATACAGGCACACAGATACACACTGACACACAGATACACACACTGGCACATACAAACACAGATACACACACCTTGACACACAGATACACACCAGCACATACAAAAAAAGGTTAATGCAACGGCGCAAAATTGTTCTTTTTTGGGGGGGGGGAAAAGGGGTGCCACGATGTTGATAAACTATGTCAAAGGGTTCCATGAGAAGAATTAATTGGGAACCCCTGAATTAGAGTAACAGCCACGCAATGTCAAATTGTGTTCCTGCAGACATGACGCCAAGACCACTTCATTGAGATGAATTGGTCTGGGTGCCTATAGTCTACCTTTAGTAATAGATGTGAATGAATATTAAGCTAATACCAAGGGAGTTGCTTGATGATAATTTGCTTATCAGGACTTCTTTCCTGCACCAATTCTAAAACAAGTCACAAAAGGCAGAACGTGAGCATTCATTGAGAAGTGGACACAGAAGAATGGTTTGTTAGGGATGATGGGAGAGATTCACGGGAGTCTGCAGCATAGTGCATGACAGGCAGATAACTACACAGATTATGGTTTTGCACTCCGCACTCTTCACAAATTTGCTAGGGACACCCCTCAGCAGATATACAAGAATGATGCAAATATGTGAGACAGTTCAAAAAGCGAATCATCAAGAATATTCCATTGGTTTGAATGTTTTTTTCCATTTTTAAATTTGCAATATTTTTATGATTATCCCTCTATGTGTTTTGACTCATGGCAGACAAAGTTGACAATTTCACCTTTAGACACTGCAGGGCATTTTGTTAGATCCTATGATATTTTTATACTATTTGTCTTTGTCTTTTCTATTTGTTTACATTCCTCAGCTTCTTCCCCTGTGACTTTACTTCCTTTAAGTCATGATGACATCACGGTCATGAAAGGCAGCTGCACAGGAAGTAGAAAGTGGAAGCAGTCATCTCACTGGATCCCTGTGTTTACCTTGCAGATATAGTAGAATATTGAGTATAAACAACTGCTTTGCTCAGACATCTAAGGCTACAAAAAAGGTTTTTAGGAATTACTAATTTCAATCACTTTTATTACAATGACTCACATATAAGAAAAATATGTTATATTAGTTATTGCAACACTCTCTATTGACATGTTAGTTTGTATCCTTACATTGCATAATAATGAAAATAAAAATCACCTTGGTAAAAATTAGATGAGTTTGAGTTTAAAACAGAGCTTCCCAGCAATAAGACTCACATTAATCTATCTTTAAAAGGTTACTCCATGCATTGTAACCACTACAACCCGCTGTTATGGCTTAAATGGGGCAAACCGTTTTGCAACTGTTTGCCATCTTACCTGGTCCTGCCAGATGCCTGGTCTCCTTTAATGTTGATTATGAAGTGTAGCTGGCTTCTGCAGAGCTAAAAAAACAGATTCCAGTCATTCCCTAACCCAGTGGCTCCCAAGCCAGTCCCCAAGACACCCCACCGGTCCAGGATTGAGGGATTACCCAGTTGTATCTAAGGTTTTTTTGTTTTGTTTTTAAATTGGTAATCCCTAAATCCTTCACATGTAGGGTACCTTGAGGAGTGATTTGGGAACCACTACCTTAACACACTGATTGCACAGAATTTACATTAGATAGCCAGCAATTCTAGTTCCAGGCTGGCTGATGAAACCTCAGTGACCCTGCTGAAGGTGAAGTTATATATCTGCCAGCAGAGTTATTAATATTTGCAAGTGCAACAGTTCACATACAGACTCCAGGCACCATGACCACTTCAAAACACTGAAGTGGTCATGGCGCTTGGAGTAGCCCCTTAGACTGGAGCATATGTGCACAAAAATTAGCCCATGTCACGGATAGAGCTGTGGTAGAACGGGGAAACTCAGACTTGAAGTCACAGTCAGAGCACTTGACCAGTACGCTTCCTTGAGTAAGACACCTAATGATATCTGCTTACCTCTAGCCCTCATAGATTGCAAGCTTGTTTGAGCATGGTCTCAAATATCTCCTTTCAGTAATTGTAAAGCATTGTGAAATATGTTTGCCCTATAGTAATACTAAGGATACCTTGATACAAATTACACTTTCTATTGCATAATATAGTCTTTCCTCTAGAAATACCTCCAGCCACATCCTGTAAAAGTGTACCTATTTAGTCATTTGAACATTTGGCCTTCTTTATCAGGGATGTTGCCGCTAGAGGGCTTTCTTTCATTTACACTTACAGTACATTGGTACATCCTAACTTGTTCTTTTGTACATCACAGTGAAAAAAAAAGAAAAAAGCTCAGATTAGTTCTTCTGCTTCCTTAACTTTTTTGTTCTTACAAGAACGTGCCACTCAATTTCACATCACAAAGTTCTGGCGCAGACATGGTTAACAGGTTACACAAATATAAAATAAAGTTTTAAAATCGTGTGTCAAGCGTGTCCAATTTCGGGTGTGCAGTGCTTTCCATGTGCCTGTGAAATCCGAAACAGACATTTTTTTTTATTTTATTTTTTTAAATTCTATATTTATTTGTAGTGCATGAAAACATAACATGGTAGCTCACAGTGCCCCAACAGCATTTACAAGTATGCGATAAAACACTGCGTAACAGTTGAGAGAATACTGCAGAATTTCTGTAGTAGATTCTAGTCAGGTTAAGTAAGTGTGTCTAAGCGACTGATAGAAATTAAACTAGGTGAGCAAGAATTATTCTAGACGTGCATAGGTTAAGAAGCCATACAGCCTGGAGGCCTCTGGATCAGTTATATGTCACAGTGCTTGACTCAAAAACACTTATCGGGGTAAATCTAGTGCATTAAGCTGAGATGTGGAAGCATAGGTCAGTGAATAGACAATATTGTCCTCAGGAGTTGTGAGTTGAGTTAATTGACATTATGGTGTTGAACACATGAGTATGTATGTGTTGTTCGCATATGAAAGAATAAGTGTATAACAGGAGCTAGACTCTTATCAGAATGGGCAAGGTGGGTGACTGTTATGTATTAAGAGTGTCACTTAGTCCACTCCAGCCGCTGGTATGGCATAGTTCCCCAAGGTGGCGTTGGTCTGCGTGAGAACCATAGGGTGATGTAGAGGCCTCAGAGACTCCCTGTGTCTGCCTTTCCACTCCGCTGCCCGAGTGGAAAACTCAGGTCTTGCTTCAAAATGCTTCGGAGCAGGCCCCTTAACCACCTCTCTGAAAATGAACCAATGCGGTTTGCGCCTTTGGAAGCACACCTTCCAAGGATTAGAGGCCACAGGTCGGGCCCGAAAATATCGGGGAGACTGTACAGTTGAATGGTGCTTTGGCTTTGTTGGTCTTTCAAGGAGTCGAGTGGGAGGGTCGGTATCAGCTTGTCGCGGAGACCTGCAGCTCGGTATCAAACCTTGCTTCTGTGGAGAGCGCGCCACCTTTCTGGATACTGGATCTTGATGGGGTTGCAAAGGTGACTTAGCAGACGACTGTATGTGTGAGAGACCTTGTGCTTTGCGTGCCAGCTTCAGCCAGAATGTGTCAAATATTCTGTCCAGTCTGGACTCGAGTGATAGTTGCGGGCTTGTTTGGTTTACCCCAGCCTCCATTTTGGCAGTACCACTCTCCTGGCTGTGCTCTCGTGCGTGCTTCCACTGGACCCTTTGCTGATGGGGTGCCGGAATAACCCTCTCCGGCAGGGAGGGGTTGATGGGCTCAACCACCGCAAGGCTGCTTCTTGGCAGGCAAGAGACCGAGAGATCGGCCACTGTTCCATGTCCCCACCGCGAGGAGGGCCCTTAGTAGGTCGCAGGACTATCCGTCTCAGATTTCGAGGTAAGGAGGGCAATGTCGTTCCCGCATGCCTTAGTAAAGCATTAGTAGCAGCGAGCATGTAAATAGGGGCCCAAAAGTTGAGTATATTGCTGAAATTCAAAGTTTCTCACAGAGCTGAGGCTTAGTGCGACCGTTCGGTATGGCGGTCAGGCTCCGCCCCCTCCGAAACAGACAGTTTAAGCAACAAACACCACTTCCACAGGCCCTTGGCACATGTGTTGACATCACATGTGCGACTGACACGGGGTCATATTAAAGTCTAACTTTTGGATAATACAAATCGAAAGAATAGATTATTGTATGTTTTTTTAATGAATAAAGTTTTTGATTATTTCTACAAATTGAAATATTCTTGCAAATATGGAGCTACAAATGTGTAAAAGGAAAAAAAAAGTTTTATTTGTAACTGACACAGAAAATTACACAAATTACACAATAATAAAAAAGGTCATTCCAGTATATGATATTTTTGATTAAAAGTCTATATAATGTATATTTAAAAACAAAAAGGGTAAATTAAGGGTAAATCAAGTTAATGAGTAAAGCATATTAAATAAATATGTTTAAATCCCTACTGTGGAACGCATATTATGTATGTAAAGAAATTGTTATTGTACATAAGTATATGAGATAATTAAGATTTTATAGTCATGATCTGCGGATGTTCTTAAATTCTAGAAATATGATCTCTCCTTCCTGGCTGTAGCAAGGCTTGAGCATCGTCGAGAGCACGGTGAATCAAAAATAGATTAGGATAAACAGCAGATACAGGGATCTGTCATCAAAACACATAAAAAACGTCTGTGCCTTTAAAAAGCCACCTTGTCTGTAGCGCTGTAACTAATTGTTCAGTAATGCATATTAGATCGTTCTGCCACCAGTTAAAGCACTACAACGAATCTAGGAGGAAGACATAATTGAGCATCTTGTATAGAGCACAATCAGTAAATATTATTTAAAAAAGTCCAATGTATACTGCAATGTATTTCAAGCAGTAAACTATATATGCAAAAAAATGTTGACGAAAATAATTTGAGTAAATTATGTAATATGATTTGTATAAACCTTTTTTTATAGAATTTATTTATTTTGTTTGTGTAACTATTGTACAGTATATTTTGGGGCTCTAGAAACAGTAAAATCATTACTTAGAAATGTAGAAATATGCAATTATTAGAAAATATTTTTTGGAAATATTTACTCTCAATGGCTATATGCTTTACCCGAAAGCCCACCCCTTTACTTCTTTTAAAAATTTTTTTATAATTTATATAATGCCAGCATATTTCGTAGCACTGTGCTATGGATTATACCAATTGTTAGATTTGGCAAAAAAAAAGAATTTGTAACAATCGATTCTTGCAGCAGCATTTACTTATGAGTTAGCTCCTCCCCTCACGGCAGAAACAACAGGAAAAAGAACACCTGAAAATGGTATAAATAGATTCACTTTTTCCTTTTTTAGACAGTATTTTTTCCCCTGTCCTTCACAGCGGTCTGGAAGGAGTATGCTTAAGCAGGCTTATATTTTTATTTTATGCTCACCAGGCCAATATTTTTGCAGGCCCAGCCAGGGTTCTCAGCTTTTTCAGTTCGGTCGTATTTCATCCATGCAATAGTTTCAAGAAAAACGATTCGCACAAACCAAAGTGTTGCGAAAATGGGCAAATCAGTGTACTGCAACATATAAATATAATATACATATTTCGCAGTATACTGATAGGTGCATTTTCGCAACATTTGGTGCGTAGATCAAATGAGAAAAATTGAATTATAGAGGGAAAAAGAAAAAAAAATATAAACATAGATTGATTTATTTTTTTACTGTATAGCGTGCTGACGTTGCTGAGGGATTACATGCACTGCTTGCTGGGAAAGAGCATTTTCAAGTCCAATGAGTGATCTCTCTCTGTGATGATGGTTGCTGGGCACTGCGTGGAGCCGGTCCGTGTTTGGACTTGCAAGCACTCATTCTGAGGGAGCAAAGCCTGCATAGCCATCGGTGTCAACACTGATATACAAACAATGACTGACAGAGATTGTAGGCAAAGCTGCAAGATCCACGTTAAATCCCTGTTTTTTGTCAGTTTTAAGGTAAAGTGGTTATGCTGCCAAATGAGTCCTGTTAAATTCACATTGCAACCTGCAGCCTTGAGGTTTGACCATGTACAAGCTGTCTGAGCTAGAGTGTTATCAGTTAGATATCTCTGTTCTAGGAAATCACTAAAAAGTGTATTCCTTTTTTAAATTAATTTTATCAGAAAGATAGGGTTTATGTTGGCCACACTTTTTCCCTCTTGTATTTCAGTATAGTACACTTGTACTTCCATTGACCTGCCATATTAGTTTACATTGGACATATGTATTTAATAAGGTTTTAACTTGAATTTTCCTAGCAATACCATTTGTTGGGAAGCAGTGACAGTCCAATAATGACAAAATCCTAGCATCCCACGGATGTCAGAATTCAAATACATCCCTGGTAATCCTATATGACACGAGCACAGTTAAAATAATCACCATCTCGTTCACAGAAAATAATCCACCTGTACTAGTAAATCCTTACAGGGGAAAAATATTAACTTTAATCCCGTTTACGTTAAGACTTTGTTAAATAGGACGACATTGTTACAGTAGCAAAAAAAAGAAAAAGAAAGTAGAAAAAGTACCTATAGCTCGTACGGCCAATAGTTAGAGGATTAGGAAGTAAGTTTGAAATACCAAAGAAAGGGTGATATGCTCATGGCATAGCATTCCAGTAGAGGTGGTGGGTTCTAACAGAGTAACACAAACAGATTTATTCAGTAAAATTGTGGAGAATTGACAAGGGAATTGAAAAATCAATCTACAATTTTTTAAAATTTGCCCATGAACATACTGGATAAGATGGAACTGTCCTACTTTCCCGAATTATTGTGTATGGGTTGGTACAGGGTGTTTAGTTACCCCGCAAATCAATGAGTTATGTTAATAATTCACTCAAGGCATGGCAGATTACCCTAACATTGCTCTTATTATTGGGGCTGTGCATGCGCAGGCAGCCTGTGGGCGAATTACTTGGGAAGAATGTGAGAATGGAGACGAGAAGTGACGGTCAGGTGAGTATTGTGAGAAAATTAGATTTGACAAAGGAAATGGAGCTGGCCTTAATCTTTTCCCTTTCTCAAGTTTTGTCAAGCAGAGGAAAAATAAATAAGCCAAAATAGACTCCACTATGCCTTATGTATTTCAGGAGAAAGAGATGGAAAAAGAAGAAAGGAGGAACAGATTAGGAGTGAGGGCAAGAAGTGGAATCGATTGATGAAAGGTAAATATAGGGTGACAGCTTTTTTTCTTCCACGCACCCATCATAACTGGTCTAAAACATCCTGGGCATGAGGAAAATGTAAGAATTTCCATTTAGACAATTTCTTTCCAAAATCCTTAGAAACAACTCCTATTACCAGCAGCCAGCCAGAGGCTCTGCAGAGCGGCCATTTGAGTTCACATCAGTCCTTTGAGATACATAATCTGTGGTCACTCATTATATTGCCCAGAAATGTGGAGGAGGTGCCAGTCTGTCTCCCTTGCCAATCAGAAAATAAGGACATCTTAAGTAACACTAGAAATTATGAATGAACATGCTGTTCTGTAAGAGGATGCTGAGAGCGCACTCTTAGTTAACCTATTATTCCATGCAGGGGTAGGTTCGTTCTTTTGATGTGGGGGGCGGTTGTCAAACTCTTTTTACACACGGTTAGCAAAGAGCTGGCCCTGCTTGAGGTTCCATTAATGTGTTTCTTGTAACTCAATCATATTCTGCAGTCGGGCTGTGGGTTTCCTGCTACAGATCTGTACTGTTTGTGATTTTCTGAAGCCTTTCAACAGTATAAACAACATAACCGAACATTCGCCGATCACCATTGGACTGAAACATTGCAGATTCCGCCTGCCACTTTAATTTACTAAGTATTGTTTGCCCCTGAATCATGTTGTGTATGTTTTTCTGTTGCTCGTGTTATCTTCTAAATGTGGCTGAATAATGATATGATTTCTTAGTTCCTTTGAGTATCTGCCAAGAAAGCACTTATATTGGAATATTATTGTGTTATTTGGCTTGTACGCCACATAATACGTTCCTAGAGGCCGTGTTTGTCCGTGTTTGACTGTTTTCTTCATCCTGTTGGAGAGAGTGACAAGTCTGCAAGGGGCTGTCTGGCAGCCCTTACATAAAATAAAAAAATTGTGTTTCTGGCCCAGATATTAAACCACCAGTAGCCCGCAAACTTACTTTGAATGATCACTCAGAATGGCACCCCAGTCCACTTTTCTATTCTAAACCTAAGGAACTGAGAAATCTCAGCTGATGCAGAACCTCTTATGCATGTGATATGGGTGGGAGGTTGGGGAAATTGACAATAAGCATTGAAGTTCTGTCACCTTAGGGCAAGGGTAGGTAACGTTTGACACTCCAGGTGTTGTGGACTACATGTCCCCTGATGCTTTGCCAGCATTATCGCTGTAAGAGCATTGTGGGAGATGTAGTCCACATCTATAGTGCCGACCCCTGCCCTTGGGTATTGTTTACTAAACCAGGAATGGTTTACAACTGCGCTACAGAGTTTGCTGGTGCTATATAAATAATAAAAAAATATATAATAACTGAAAACATTAGGCCATTAAGGACAACCTTGAAAAATAACTGAGCTGGAGATTTTTTTTTTTCAAGTCAACTAATTTGGAGTAACATTAAAAATGTTCTGGTCACTTTTACACAATTCTGAGTTTAGGGAAT